AAATATTTTGGACTGATCTGATTCACTCTCCACAGAGCTGAAGAATGACACATCGTGTAGCAATTGTTGGAGGAGGGGCTTCAGGTCTGGCCTCTATTAAGTGCTGTCTGGATGAGGGGCTGGAGCCTGTCTGCTTTGAAAGCAGCAATGACATTGGTGGTCTGTGGAGGTTTAAGGTGGGTTAGACAACATACAGATCGGACTTTGCTTTGCTCTGACAGATGAGATTTGTTTTTCTCTATTCATGGCTTTCTCCGCAGGAGAATCCAGAGCCAGACAGGGCCAGTATTTACTTTTCTGTCATAATCAACTCTTCCAAGGAGATGATGTGTTTGAGTGATTCTCCCATCCATGCGCACTTCCCAAACTACATGCACAACTCCCTCATCGTGGACTACTTTGGACCACTTCCAGCTCACCAAGCACATACTCTTTAACGTAAGGATGTTTTGCTATTTTTCAGTATTCTGTTGGCAAAACTTAACGTATCACCAATTTTCAAAAGAAAAAAGCTTTTTTAGTTCTGATATATATATATAAATGGGGCATACCCGCACTCTTATCAACAACCTGCTTCTGTCTTTCTGTTTTTCAGACCAAAGTCTTGCAGGTGAAGCAGAAATCTGATTTTTCTCATTCGGGCGAGTGGGTTGTTGAAACAGAACAAGGATGGCAAGAAAGAGAAACACATTTTTGAAGCTGTGATGATCCTTAGTGGACACCACTGCTACCTCAACATGCCTCTTCATGACTTTCCAGGTAACACATGTCTGAGGGCTAGCAATAAACTACATGTAGATTTTATGTAGCCTTATAGAGTTTGGCTGTAGCAATAGAAAGAGGAAGTAATAATATTTAATAACAGTGTTTGACATTCTTTAACCATGTCTGTCGTGGAAACAGAAAGGGAGATTGTGTCTTGTTGTTTTATTTTCTTCAGGCATTGAAACTTTCCAGGGGAAGTATTTCCACAGCAGAGACTACAAGACTCCTGAGGAGTGGAGGAATAAAAAGGTCATAGTGATTGGAATTGGAAACTCTGGAGCAGAAATAGGAGTGGAACTGAGTAGAGTCACCAAGCAGGTTGAACTGAGATGAACTGATTCCTCATTTAAAATTTTTTAAAAAAATAATAATAATTTACCCCAAAATTCATTCAGTTAAATTCAGTTCTGACTTATTAACCTATTAGTAGTTCAGACGCTATCAATATGATGAGAATTACATTAAAAAAAAATATACCAAGAACCAGAGCAATGGCTGACAATGATTAATTTCATCCTAGGTTTACCTGAGCACTCGAAGGGGAGCCTGGATTCTGAACAGACTTGGGGATAATGGGATTCCCATTGACTTGTATTTTAACAG